CAAGAACTCGACTGGGCTCTAAAATATCAAACCTCACAAGTCTGTTAGCCAAGGACTGAATGTCCAATGCTAGCAGCTCTCCTCTACTGAAATGAATGCCAAACTACCCATACTCTCCGCCTTTATACTCAAGGCATCCGAAACTACATTTGCCTTGCCCGGATGATAAGGGATGGTAATATCATAATCCTTCAGTAACTCAAGCCACCTGCGCTGCCTCAAATTGAGATCCCTCTGCTTGAACAAATGCTGCAAGCTGCAATGATTGGTGTAAACCTCATAGGACACCCTATAAAGATAATGCCTCGAGATCTTAAGACCATGAACAATCACGGCCAACTCCAAATCATGTACAGGGTAATTCTTCTCACGGGGCTTCAGCTGACGTGAAGCATATGTAATAACTCGCCCCTCCTGCATCAATACACAACCCAAACCAATGCGTGAAGCATCGCAATACGCAGTATACATCCCTGAATCCGAAGGAAACACTAACACCGGTGCTAAAGTCAAGGGGGTCTTGAGCTTCTGAAAGCACACCTCACAATCGTTAGACCATCGGAACGAAACACCCTTTTGGATCAATCTAGTCGAAGGTGCTGCAATACATGAGAAGCCCTCCACAAATCGACGATATAACCTGCTAACCCTAAGAAGCTCCTGATTTCGGTTGCCTAGTAGGACGAGGCCAACTTTGAACTGCCTCGATCTTCTTGGAATCTACCTTAATACCCTCGCCTAATACTACATGCCCCAAGAATACCACAGAATCCAACTAGAACTCACACTTGGAGAACTTAACATAAAACTTCTATTAAGCACCACTCTTAAATGTTGATCGTGCTCCTTTGTGCTGCGCCAGTAGATCAAAATTTCATCAATGAAAAGAATGGCAAATGAATCAATATTTGGCTTGAACACCCTGTTAATCAAATCCATAAACACAGCCAGGGAGTTAGTCAAACCGCAGGACATCACTAGAAACTCATAATGGCCATATCTTTGTTTAGAAAGCAGTCTTCGAAACATCCAAATCCCAAATCTTCAATTAATGGTACCCCAACCTCAAGTAGATCTTAGAGAACACCCTGGCACCCTGCAATTGGTCAAATAAATCATCAATACGCAACAACGAGTACTTGTTCTTAATGGTAACTTTGTTCAAATGGCGTTAATCAATGCACATCCGCCTGGTCCCATCTTTGTTCTTCACAAATAACACTGGTGCACCCTAAGGCGATACACTCGGTCTGACAAACCCCTTTTCTAGCAACTCCTCAAGTTTTTCCTTCAACTCTTTTAGAGCCATGCAGTTCGGTGGGATAGAGATAGGCTGGGTACCTGGAGACAAATCAATACAGAAATCGATATCACGATCTAGTGACATGCCTGGAAGATTAGTAGGAAATATATATGCAAAACTCCCGAACTACGGGCACAGAATCAATCGCGGGGGTCTCGATAGTTGTATCTTGAACATACACTAAATAAGCCAAACAACACTTCTCGACCATGTGTCGAGCTTTCAAAAAAGAGATAACCCGACTAGATGCACTGACAGATGACCCCTTCCACTCAAATCTAGGCAACTCTGGCATCACCAAGGTAGCAGTTTTGGCAGGACTGATATGGAGATAACCAGTCCTGCCCAGGATGACCTCAAAGTCGGTCATATAAGGCAATAGACGATCCGCTCTAGCCTCATAACTACAAAACGTAACAACACAGGACCAATAGATCCGATCCAAAACAACAGAATCGCCCACAGGAGTGGACACATAAATAGGAGCACCCAAGGACTCATGGGAAACACCTAGAAAATGAGCTAACAGGGATGAGATGCAGACCCTGGATCAAATAGTAGTGATGCAACCCTAACACAGACAAAAATAATACCTATGATCACGACATTTGAGGCCACTGCATCTGGTTTGGCTGGAAAATTATAGACACTAGCTGGAGCACCAACTGACTGACCTCCACACTGGCCTCCACCTCTTGGATGGCCCCTACCCACCTGCCCTCCGCCTCTGGGCTACCGGATGGCTGGTGGGGCAGCTAGTGCTGTAATCATAGGCTGCTGACCCTGCTACTGCCTTGCCCCGAAGCCTTGGGCAGAACCTGCACACATGACTGAGGTCCTTGCACTCGAAACGACCTCTTAGTACGGTGGACTGCTGACCTGAAGTCTGACCCTGATAGCCTGAATACCCACTGGAAGCACCCTGAATAGCTGGTGGGCGGTAGGAACTCTCTGGCATGCCGCTGAAATAAGATCGCACTAGAGTACCCGGAGGAGGCGGCGGTGCTGGATATGTGGGCCTGGTGGACTGACCATTCACGAACTGACCTCTACCCTCAGCTAGGGCACCTCTAAACTCTCTGGAATATCGAAACCTCTTATCCCTCGTAGCCTGCTCGCGACTACGCTAACGTACACCCTCGATTGTTTGAGCTATCTCCACAACTAGCTAGAAGTCCCTATCTCGACCTCTCGGGTCATACTGGCCTGAATACCTGTGTGCAATCTCGCAGCAAACCTCCGCACTCTCTCTACATTAGTAGGAAGTATAATAAGTGCATGGTGAGATAACTCAGAGAACCTCGCCTCATAGTCGGTCACTGATATCTCACCCTACTGGAGCTGCTCGAACAGAAACCGCAACTCTTCCGTCTGAGAGGGTGGAATATACCTATCCGAAAAGATATGGGTGAACCTGTCCCAAGTTATGAGAGGAGAATCTGCTGGTCTACAGGAAGATAAGACTGCCACCATCTACGGGCCCTGCTCTCCAACAGAAAAGTAGCAAAGTCCACCCCATGGGACTCCAATATCCTCATGTTGTGCAGTATGTCCCTGCACCGATCAATGAAGTATTGGGGAACCTCATGTCGCTCACCTCCAAACACAAGAGGATGTATCCTAGTCCATCTATCCAATAGCTTTTGCGGCTCAGCGATTGTAGCTGGTCTGGGCTCGGGTACAACTGCTGCCACTGGCTGGGCTCCGCCCACGGGTAGTGCACCTGAGGTCTGATATACGGTAGTTGCATGCCCTGGAGCATGAGAGGTAGTAGTCTGTGCTCGCCCTCTCGCCTGTGATATGGCCGGTCTGCTAGAAATAAACCAGCCTGAGTCATAGTATCCATGAACCGTTGCATACGGCTGATGACCTCATGGAATCTCGGTGCGGACATTAAATCCATCGGAGCTGACTCTGCTGCAGGCACCTCACCCTGCTCCTCAATAATAGGATCCTCTACTGGATCCACTGGTGGCATAGCTGAAGCAACTCTAGGACATCCTCGTCCTCTACCACGGGTAAGAGCCCTCTCCCGGCCTCTACCTCGGCCTCTAGCAACAGTTGGAGCAGCTCCTCCTTGATCCGAAGCACCAGCTGTACACGTTCTCACCATCTGTGAGAGAATAAGAGAACGATACTTAGTACCACATCAACTGCACGATAGGAGATGAAGAAATAGTAGTTTCCTAACGCCATATAGCCTCTTAAAGATAAGCACGGACGTCTCCGCACCGATCTGTAAGACTCTATTAGGCCTGATCATAACTTGTGATACCTATGTGAACCTAGTGCTCTAATACCATATTTTCATGACCCAATTCTTTTATAAGCCGTGATGACCCAATTCTTTTTTGGAAATAAACCTACATCTAGGTGTCGCTGTATTGCCTACCCATTCAAGGACTGGCTCACCCGGAAAATGAAATCTGGTTGCCTTTTCTCGGTTTTCAATTGTGGCATAGCTAGCTGCCAACCATTCCATGCCCATAATAGCATCAAAATCCATCATCTCTATCTCAACTAGGTCGTTTGAGGTTTGACGACTACAAAATGTCACCGTACAACCTCGGTAAACCCGTCTAGCAATAATCGGTTCTTCGACTGGTGTAGATACCGCAAAAGGATATATTTCAGGCACTATACCAAACTTCCCCGCGACAAATGGGGTAATATATAATAAAGTAGATCTTAGGTCTATCAAGGAATAAGCATTGTGAGAGCAAATGGTCATTATACCTATCACAACGTCTGGTGAAGACTCCTAGTCCTGTCGACCCGCTAAAGTATAGATACGGTTCTAGTTACCACCTGAACTGGAACCTCTACCTCTGTCTCGACCTCTACTAGCTGAAGACTGAGACTCGCGCCCTGAAGGATGCACGGACATAGATGATCCTGTTGCTAAACTCTCTGGTTGTGCCATACCCTTAGAATCTCTTTTTGCAAAATCTTGCATCTTATGCCCCGGACGTCCACATGTATAATAAGCATCGGAACCTGCTCGACATTGGCCCAAGTGTCCTCTACCACAGATGTCACACCGCGACGGAAATGACCATGTATGCCCTAAACCTTGTTGTCGCTGCAAACCTGACGCCCGTGAGCTCTCACCTGGTCCTGACTGAGTATAGCGGTTATACCTGTAACCCTGTAATTGAGGCCTAGGTGGCCGTTCGAATTACTGGGGCCTGTAACTACCCTGAGATTGCTCCTGAGATATGGCAAATCTCATTACGCTGCCCTAGCTCCATCCTCTTTCTACCATGCTGCCGATATTCTGTGCGAACGCCTGAATCCGGGAGATACCCATACTATCTTGTAATGCAGTAGTGGCACATGCCTCGGTCAACTCTAGGGCCAACCCTGCTACAAACCTATGGATCCTGTCCCGCATAGTAGCAACTATTGATGGAGCATATCTTGCCAATGAGTCACAACGGATACTATACTCTCGAACACTCATATTGCCTTGCTTGAGGGCTAGAAACTGATCGACTCGAGCCTGTCGGATCTACCGCGGTAAGTACTGGTCATGGAAGGCATCTTAAAAATTCTCCTAAACAGCTAGAGGTGCATCACGTCCCATAGACCTTTCCCATCCCTCGTACCAAAGAAAGGCTATATCTCGGAGTCGAAAAGTTGCTAGCTCAACTGCCTCTTTCTTTGTGGCATGCATAACCCGAAAGATCCTGTGAAGCTAATCTATGAAATCCTGTGGGTCCTCCATCTGACCTGTCCCCATGAACTCTCGAGGACCCAAAGCAATAAACTCTCGGACCCTTGAACTCCCAGACCCCTCAGAAGATCCTGCACTAGCTGATGCCCTAACATGTTGCTGGGTAGCTACCAACTGTGTCAACAAATGCACCGCACTCCTCAAGTACTGATCTAATGGAAGTGGTGAGGGAACTAGATGTGCGGTATCCCTAAAAACCTCCTCAGGTGGTGGAGGAGAAAGTAATGGCTGAGTAGGGGTCTCGCCCCGGGCCTCGGACTGGCCCCATCTACTGGGGGTACCCTGCTGGTCCCCTCACCTGCTGTTGTATCTCTCCTCTAGCTATCCGTAGTCTTCCTAGTCACCGACATCTGTGTATGCGAACACCAACACATAAGTTTAACTCAAATTTCCCATAACTCAGTTCTGCAACACGATTTAGATTTTAAAGAAGGGTAACCAACTCCTAAATGCCATGTAGTTCCCTGTTTATATAATGTGGTGCACAACACATCGATAAACAAGACCATACTAGACACACCTTGTAGACTCCCTTAGACAAAACGACTCTGATACTATGTTCGTCACGCCCTGAACCCGAGGGGCGAGACCGGCACCCGGTGCCTCACCTAACATAGCGTACGAACTTACGACTGATGGACTCTGAACATATAATGTCATACTTTGGACATGGGGCCACATTGCAAGATAATTTACGAAGTAAAATATAAAGCTGAACGGCAACTAGCTCTGACTAAACATCAATATAAAGCTGGGCCGACAAGGCCGTCATAAATACTACACTGACAAACCAACAACATATAAATACAAGGCCTACAAACACAACATACTGCACTAACTGATAGGATATGTCTACAAGCCTCTACTGATAGATATACTATGATTGGAACAGGGCCCCGACCTACCCATAACATATATACATATATGTACAAGATGTACATAAAACTCTAGACTCGGCAACTCCGAAGGACGTGGAGCTTACCAATCAAGCTTAACTCAGGTAAAACCTATTGAGGAGGTCTACTCGTCTATCTGTCTATACCTGCTAGCATGATATGCAGTGTCCCTAGAAAAGGGACGTCAGTACGAAATAATTTTCCGGGTATGTAAGGCAATAAAATAACATAAAGCTAAAACTGAAGTGATGATATAATAACTGAAAGTAACTGGGAGTCAAAGATGATCTGGAGATATACTTACATGTTAATACTGACTTAACTCTCTCAATATAGTAAGTAAAATAAATGTCCGGCCCTATAAGGCTCGGAACGTGTAACTGCTCTGCCATTGTAAGCTCGCGGCCATACTAGGCTCTGTATCTCGGCCATTCTGGGATCGCTTATAGGCTCTCAGCAATAGAAGGCTCGGTATTAAATTAACATCTGATCGGAGGTTGCCCAATAGGGGCCTGCCCATCGATTATAGCTCGATGGTGGTGAAAATACTATAATACTGTATATATATGTAGACCCTTTGCTCTCATAACTGGAAGAAGACAATACTTAACTGAATATAAAGTCCCGATAAGGGAGGATAATGTAACTTATGAGACTAGGATAATGTACATAACTTCAGGAATACGAACTTCTTAGTATGCCTCGTTATCAAACTCATGTTGTTACGAGATCATGCCAAAATGAAAAAAGGATTAGTCTTAACATACCTTATCACAATCTTTCCAAATACCAAGTTGAACTCGCCTCTTCGCACCTTAATCTACAACAACGATAATAATACTATCATTATGTTACGAAAGGTACAACTATTGCACAACGAATGACAAGCTTATTTTGTATTAAAACGGGCAACATCTCCCCTATAATCCTTATTTCCTCCAAATTCAAGATAACACCAACAATACAAGAACACAACAATAACAACATATATACATTATTTTCCAACCTTATATACACCACAAAATACTACAAAATAGCCCAACACACTCCAATCTCTTCATACACAAAACGACCACCGTAGAAGTGTCAAATAGCCCGAAAATGTTACGACGAACGACCAACCCACCACCCTGCATTTATGTGGTGTTTATCCACACCCTTCTTCCTCCAAAACTACACATAATAGTAGTAAAACACGCAGCCTAACAACAACACGAAACAGTCCACAAAATAGTCCGCTACAAGTGAATAACTCGAACTCACGGCTTTCGATCACCATCCCGTGAGTTCTTACAAATGTAGAACGACTTACCATGCATTTAAAGAAGAAAAAATGGATGAAAGAGAGTAGTAAACTTAACTTATTTGTTGGATAACTCAGCTCCTATCTCGGTTCTTTAAACTCTAGGTATTACCTCCATTAGAACTTGAAAGGGAGAGAAAATCAATTAGGGTTTGGGAAAAATTTTTAAGAGAATGTTTGCGGGAGTTTAGGTCTGGTTAATTGTGGTATATTATGAGTGTTATACAGGAGATAAGCCCTTAAATGGGCTCTTTGACCGACCCGAAATAGCCTCTTTTGGACTCTCATTTAAGCAAGTAGGTGACAACCTACTTGTCACCTAGCAGCCTGAGCAGTCTCGCAAAAATATATATATATATCTTTCTACTCCAATAATGTATCGACAAACAGTTTAATGCGTTTGAAAATAGACTCATAGATCTTTAATTTGATGAGTGGAACACCCCATAACTTTAAGCATATTGGGAGAAAATCGCAGTTATATTTTACCCACGTTTTCAGTAAAACTTATGAACGTAACTTGTGATGACTTTCATCGACTTTTGTTCCACAACTCGCTTGACTTCAAAACATAACACACCACTATCATACGACTAAAATAAATTATAACATAACTTCCTTATCATGTTAAGCACCCCAGTCTCACCCCAAAAGTACATGTTATAATATTCACAACTTGTCGACATTCGACGAAACATTGTTTTCTTCAATTCCTTTAGCTTCTGAACCTTCTAATCCTCTTTATACTTGTTGTTCATGATCTTCAATATTTGTAACCTCCGAGGTCACATGATTAACTTACTTTATATACTTTCAAATAGTATCTCATTTTTGGTCCTACATTAGTTTGTTTATGACGCACTCTTACGTACGAAAATATAGGGTGTAACATTAGTGTTGATTTTCAAATACTTCTGAGGACTTCAATTACCTCATGTTAAGAAGGTCATTTTTGATCCCACAATTGACACAAAATGTTAAATTTACTCTTCTCAAAATCAAGGTCCTTGTGTTCGGTTATTACGGAGTTATTTTTCTATTTATTTTTATAAGTTATTAAGTAACAAAAGTATGAAACATGGAGACCTACGTGAAAGTTTAATAGAATGTGTTAATTTTAAAGGTACCCTAATCACTTGCTAGAGCAAAGTTACGGGTAAAATCAAACTCAATTTTTATAAGTTGTTAATGTCGAAAAGAGGGGGAGTGAATTAAAGAGTGCCCATTCTGTTTTTTTTTTTTATTTTATTTTTATTTTTTGAACACTCTCTCTTTGTCCTTCCTTTAATTCTAAACAGTATTGTGAGTTCATCAGGAAAATAGACAAAATGACTTACTGGCCCCTTATGGATGATATAGTTGTTGATAATCTGAAAGAAGAAGCAAATGACTTCTAGAACTTTTGTTTTCTGAGAATAGGAATTCCCACTTCCATGAAAATTCATGTACTTGCTAAGCTTCTTTTTAGAGTTGACAATGCTAAGACAATTATACTTTTGTAGTCCCACATGTTCAAAATAAACTTCTTTTTGCCCCTACCGACTTTTTTCTCAAAGAATAATGACCACAACGTTAAGACTAACACGATAAGGTAGTGTTTTTTTTTGTACAAACCACACTTCATTTTTCAGAAAAAATTGGACCCAACTTTTTGAATTATTTCCGGCTTTTGTATTTCATCCTCTTCTTCTGTTCTTTCACAGTCTGTCTATTCTTGTTGGCAACAAATAATGTCTTCCATTAGGAAAACAACTTAACAAGAACTAAGATATGTAGCTAGTTCTGTTTCCACTTATCTACTACTCCGGTATTGCATCTTCAGCATACAGGTAATAAGAAAAGCCCAGCTAGAGTAGATACAGATATTTTCTTTTTTTTTTTAAGCAATCCACTAGGCATAGCCTAGGGCTAGTTTTTATTTATAAATAAAATAAACAAACAAGCACAATGTCATGAAATCCTAACGGATGTACGAAAATGAAATAAAATACTACATAAGACCTATTATCAAAATTGAGTAGTATACTCAACATTGATATCACATAAATTCTACTCAAAATTGCATCAAAAATAATCAAAGAAAAAGTCCAATTTTGGACACAATTGTAATCCGCAGCTTTTGGCCCAATATGGCCATTGTTGAATTTGCAGAAACAGCCACTATCCAGTACGGTCAGCCCTTGATTTAAATGTGATTTGCAAAAATAGCCTCGAAATTTCACCTCCAGCTCCAGCATTGCCGAAATAGCCATAGCCTCCATTTTTCCGCTTCTGATTTGCATGACAGCCTCATCTTCGATTCAGTAGCCACATTCCTCAAATTATTGAATTTATTAAATAGCCACATATGTGTAAACATATATTGGCTATTCAAACAACTCCATGATACAATACCTCCAACCCAGCCCAATTTTGTAATCCAATTCTGCTCATTAACCAGCCCAACCGTGTCAGTTGTAGTTACATGTGGGCTCACCAATAAGCCCAGACCATCAATATTTCCCATTTGGATATATAGCCACCATCCAGCCCAATTTTTAACACCCTATAATTGCAAACATAGCCTCCTGTCCATCAGTTTTGCAACTGAACGCGTGTATTCCACTATCTGCCTCTTTATTACACATATATTCACATATGTATGTATTTGTCCCTTCATTTCCAAGTGCAGCCGACATAGGTAATATCGACCTCCTCTCTCCTCCTTCTCTCTTCTGTGTTCTTCATTTTCGTTCAAATCCAATGATCTAACAACTTTTCTTACCTGATTATTCTTGTATGTTCCTGGATCCTTGTGCATCGCGTTGGAGAGGTTATGCTGGACTTCCACAATCTCTTGTTTAGCTGCAGCTGTTCTGAAATGCCAAACTTCAGAGTCACCTTCGACCACGCCCTGCTGTACCCTATTGGAATTGCTTATGAGTGCTTTAATCGAGTTTGTACTCTCCCTTCCCTTGTAGAATGTTGTAATAGAAAGACCTGGATGTATTTCATTTCTGTACCTCTTGTCCTTATTCCTATTCTCGTCATTTTGCATCATCCAGTTAAAATCACTAACAATAATGATTTTATTGTCTGCAATCTGTACAAGTATAAGCCCCAAAACTGTGCATGTTTGTCCTTTCTTTTTGTCAGTATTGTCATGTTTGTACAACCAATAATCTTGTATGATATATTGCCATTGATGTTCTCTGCAACCACTCTATAGTCTAGATCTAATTTAACTCCGGTGGATTGAGTACGTAGTACTAATACCACCACCTGGAGCCACCTTAAACCATAGATTATAGATATGATTGATATGTCTGTTAGACTTATATGCCTATTATACACTGTGTGTTGATTTTGTGTCTGCTGTTGTTGATGATATTCACATTTTGTATTGTTTAGATGTAATTTAAGTCCATTGGAATGAATGCATAGCATTAATACCACCAAATGAACCTCAATTACACCATAAAACAGTAACAAAGTCTTAATCTGTAACAAACATTCTCTGATCTTCATGTCCTCCTCCCAAAGGATTTGGACATTGCATGACACCATGTATGTATTTCCTTGACATTTCCCATATGACCTGATTCCCTTTTCCACAGATGCATCATCCATTTGACTTCCTATGATTTGGAACTCCAATGTCTGCAATCTGTGTTTCTGTGTATTCTTCCTTCTTCTTTGTGTGTGACTAAGTGTTATCCTTTGTGAAAGACAACACTTCCCTGATTCTGCCACTCTCTCTTTGAATGCCTTTGGTACTATCCTATATTCTATACTTAAATCTTCCCAAATGGACTGAGTACTGAGTACTAATACCACCATTTTAGGTTTCATTAAAGTATAGAATATAGATAGTTTAACTGTACCTGCAAAAAAGAAAACCAGATTAGTAATAAAAAGTTCACTCATACTCTCCTCTATCCAGATTTGAGTATGAGTGATGCTATAGGCAGCTCCTGATCCTACTTCTCCCCCATCTTCCTTTTCTTCTGCTAACTTCTTGCAACTCTTACTCTCAGAACAGGGCATTGCATCTTATCTTCATTCACCAATCTTCTACCTTGAATATCCAGGTCCCAAAATCCATGACATTCCATATCTCCCTCATCCAAGGCATAATTTGCTAGATGATCTGCTAAGTGATTACCTTCCCTAAATGTATGTGATATTCTGAGATTAAACTCCCCTTTCAATCTCAGTATTTCCTCTATCTGATCAACAATACACCAGGGGGGCTTCCATAATCCCTCAATTATGTTGTTCAACAGTAGTGAATCAGTCTGCAACCAAATCTGACTGAAATTCATGGCTCTACACATTCTCAGGGCCTCCAGAATTGCTACTGCCTCAGCTTCAGTATTTGTACCCTCTCTAATCTCCTTCCCTTGTGCATATTTTAATTCTCCTGCTTCATCTCTTAAGCAAAAACCTATAGAGCTTCTCCCAGGATTACCTCTACATGCTCCATCAGTGTTAACCTTTATCCATCCAGCTTGTGGAAATTCCCATATCACCTTCTCATACTTCAGAGTTGGAGTATAATGCTCCATCATGTACAACAGATTGGACCACCTGTGAGGAACCTTTAAACCTGGTTTCCTTAATTGTACCAAGTGTTGTAAAGTAGTAGAAACCTGATAAATCACCCTACTTACTGACACTGATTCTCCATATTTCAAACTATTTCTTCTTTTCCACAACTCCCACACAATACAAGCAGGTAGTGCCTGCATAATTGGCTTTAGTCTATGAACAACTTTTGCAGTCCAGCATTTTGTAATAGCCTGATGAAGTGTCAAATCATGAACTGCAATTCCTGCCCTTGGTAAGAAGTATCCCCATACTGTTTCAGCAGCCTTAGATGTGAAAAATAAGTGTACCAAAGATTCCTGTTTAGGTGCAGCACAACACCAGCATTTAGATGGCATAAAGTACCCAAGCCTTCTCATAAAATCATCCAGTGGCAGCTTAGCCTTCCAAACTTTCCACATAAAGAAAGAAATTTTGAAAGGGAGACCTCTCACCCACATCATTTTATATGCTGTTCTAGGATTGTCCCTTCTTCTTAAATATTCCCATGCAGACTTGACAGAAAATTGACCTCTAGAGTCCAGCATCCAAAAGGGTGTATCTATTCCATCATTCATATTAGGTGGCCTTATGTTTTCAATAATGTGCATTGCCAGTTCTTCAGGTAAAATCTGCATTAATCTGTTTGCATCCCATGCTCCACTTTCTACCAGATCATATACATTATGCACATCATCATCTATGACAAATTCTGGTGGGACAAGGAAATATAGAGCCCCAAGCCTTGTCCAATTATCATACCAAAACAGTGATGATCCCATTCCAATCCTCCAGAAGATCTGGTGTTCTATTAAATCTCTGCATTCCAACATCTTTCTCCACACATGTGAACCCTCTCTCCATGGCACAATTACTGCATTTAATTTCTTGCAGTATTTCTGACTCAGAAATGAACTCCACAGGCTTGGCCTAGTTCTAAAATTCCACCACAGCTTACAAAAGAGTGCCTTTGCTACATCATGTAAAGATCTGAATCCTATTCCCCCTTCATCACATGGCATACATAATGTGGTCCAGGATGCCCAATGTCTACTATTACCACCCACTGAACTACTCCAGAAGAATTGTGCAAATATCTTATGTAATCTGTTTATTACATAGCTAGGGGGATTAACAGCAGACAATAAATGAATTGGCATGCTCTGAAGAACATTAGATATTAAAATAGCCCTACCTCCAATTGATAGCAGCTTCCCTTTCCATGTTTGCAGCTTATTTAACACCTTAGAGATCATAGGTTGATAATACTCTAGCTTTCTCCTAGCATAAAAGATGGGACACCCCAAATACATGAAGGGGAAATCTTGTCTTGCAATGCCTGTTATCCTTTCCACCTTCCTGACCACCTCCATATCTGTTAAATGATGCATATAGACTGCTGATTTGTTCCTGTTTATCAGTTGTCCAGAGGCAGCTTCATATAACTGCAGAATCTCCATTACCAATCTCAGTGATGTAGCATCAGATGAACAAAATATAATAGTATCATCAGCATAGGCTAAATGATTAATTTTTGGACTCCACTTAGGCAGTCCAAAGCCACAGAAGTATAGGTTTAGATGCAAGGAATTCAAACCTCTTGATAGAGCTTCAGCTGCAATAATAAATAATGTTGGAGATAGTGGATCTCCCTGTTTGACACCCCTTGTTGATTTGAAAAAGCCATGAGACTGACCATTTATCAAAACAGAATACCAATTGTTTCCTACCAAGTCAAAGATCAATCCAATAAACCTCTCACAAAATCCTAGTTTCCTGAGCATTTTAGTTAAAAATAGCCAGGACAACCTGTCATAGGCCTTAGTCATGTCCAATTTCATCACAACATTAGGTCCAGCTTTAGTCCTCAGCCTAATATCTGTAATAATTTCCTGAGTTAACAAAACATTTTCCACTATACTTCTCCCTTTCACAAAGCCTGCTTGTTCTTCAGATATTATATTAGGTAACAGTTCCACCAACCTTTCATGAATGACCCTTGAGAAAATCTTGTTGACAAAATTACTCAAACTTATAGGCCTCAAATCAGAAAATGTATTAACCTCCTTCTTCTTAGGTAATAATACCAGATTAGTGTGAGTGATACTTTTAGGTAATTGCTGCCCATTGAAGAAAGCCAGAACCATTGCATAAACATCATCTCCCACTATATCCCAACAAGTATGGAAGAAGGCTCCAGTAAAACCATCAGGTCCACCTGCAGAATCTCCATTTAAACCATAAACTGCCTTCTTAACTTCTTCTTTAGTAGGATTTGCTATCAGCATCTCATTTTGTTCCTCATCTATCAGTGTAGGCACATGATCCATAATATGAAATACTGAAGGCACTACATCTTCTGTGAATTGATCCCTATAAAAGTTGACAGCCTCTTCTGCAATTTGTACATCTTCCTCTATCCAGTTGCCATTACTGTCCTTAATTCTTTTCAGCTGCAATTTCTTCCTTCTTCCTCTAACTTGTGCATGAAAAAACCTTGTATTTCTATCCCCATCTTTGAACCATGCCATTCCTGCTTTTTGTTTCCAAAATTCCTCCTCCAATGCCAGGTATCTAATCAATTCTGCCTTGACTTTATGTAACCTTTCCCTATTCATCTGAGTTGGAACTGCCTCAAATTGTTTCTCATGTACTAGGACCACCTCCTCTAAGCTTGCTATCTTTTGAAAAATGTCACCATAGGTTGATCTGCTCCATGATGACAGAATCTTCTTTAACTTTTTAACTTGTGGTTAAACATGATGAATGGATTTGCAGCAAAATCAGCAGACCAATTCTCCTTAACCACTGCCTTAAAATTTTCATGTTTTGTCCAGAAATTAAGAAATCTAAAAGGCTTCTTAATAGGTTCAACCTCTATGTCACACTTCAGCAACATGGGGCAATGATCAGACCCTGTCTTGGATAAGTGTGTGATCTCAAGGCCAGGGAATGTCTGCTGCAATTCCATGTTTCCAAGACACCTGTCCAATCTTTTAAATATACAGTCTTCCTCTGATCTTCCATTCCACCATGTATAGATGCTCCCTTTAAATCCTAGGTCTGCCAAATTACAAGTATTGATACAATGTCTAAAGTCATCTACCTCATTTAAAGAAACAGGTAGTCCTCCAAATTTTTCTTCCTCATCCCATATGACATTGAAATCTCCTCCCACTAGCCATGGACTTGTCATATCTGTTGCCATTGCATATAGGGAATCCCACAGTTCTATCCTTTCTATAGGATCACATTTAGCATAAACCAGTGTGAGTATAAGTTCCACATGTGTTTCAGTGTGAAAAAGCTTTAGAGTTAATTGCTGCACCATATTGTAGAGAATTGTCACCTCAAAAACTTCATCTATGAAAGCCCATATTTTGTTTGAAACATTGACCACTGCCTGTGCCAAACCAATTCTATTCCTGTACCTCTCCACTTTGTTAGACTGCTGCATAGGCTCTATAATTCCTATAAATTCAAAGTGATGATGTCTATGCATGAGAATCAGTCTTTCAAAAGCCTGCATGGTATTCACTGACCTAACATTCCATATGATAGCATCCATTAGTGATTGAGTGATTTGGACAGTGTTCTTCTTGTTTGAACTCCACCTGCTGGAACAACTGGAGTGTCTTTTGGTTGTTTCTTTCTTCCCTTTGCTGCTGATTTAGCTTGTTCAATATGCCTAGGAGATAAATCCCCTTGTCTGGCCACATTGAGAAAGTTCTGAGCAGTGGATTCCTCATCCATATCCTTTCCTTCAGGCCCAATAGCTGCTACCTCTGCAATTACTTGTACTATGTTGTTCTGCTGCATGGGAATCATTGCCTGTTCATCACTATCCTTGTTGGCTGCTTGGTCTTTGACTTCCTGATTTTCACCCCCTTGCTTCTTTGTGATTTGGACATTACTTATTGTATGTCTCACAGTGACATCAATGTCCTTCTGCTGTTCTGTTCCACCTGGATCTATGCTATTTCTATCTGGTCCATGTGTTACAGATTTCTCTGCTACAATGTTGTTCTCCTTGTCATTACTGTGTTGCTGATCATTACCTTTACCTTCTATAATATTTACTCCTTGCCCTTCTGTCCTTTTTATCTCCTTGTTTTTCCCAGTTACACTTTGATCTTCATCCTCTCCTTTGTCTCCACCATCTTCTTCTTCACTTGGCATAATATCAGGGATCATTCCTTCTTCTGTATCTTCTTCATCTTGATCTGACCACATCCTTCCTCCTTTCCAATTTGTTCTTTCCTTGCTTTTGAAAATTTCATATTCTGCATCATCTAGGTTCTCCTTGTCAGTCACTTTTGCAAGTGTCAGGTCCACCCTAGTATCCTGAGATGGAACTTCTTGCACAGATGTATTTGTGAGAACTAAGTTATCTTTAAATGCTCTTTGTACCCATGAGGCAGTTGTTTCCTTGTTCTGATGATCAGTTCTCCTTATTTCTTGGTGCTTTGGCACTTCCTTGCTCTTGTGTTTGTTGTTGCCTGCTGGTGTTGAACTTCCTGCTGGCTCTGTTACTGGCTTTTTGTTTCCTCCTCTATTTCCTTTTTCATTCCCAGGTGAAGCAGGAATAAAAATAGGTGCTGTAGGATTCAAAGTTCCAGGTTCCTTTGTGTGTACACTTGTATTCTGAACCACCTGCTCTTCTACCAAGGCCAATTGATTGTTTGCATTGTCTTCACTTGTTTCAACTTCTAGTACTGCAAACTTATTGTTTGTCTGCATCTGCTGAGGCATCATGGAGACTTGATTATCCACTGGTATTACTTCCTTCCCATTCTTTGTTCCTTCCCCATTCTGCTTATCTTTAGTTTGATTTCTTTTATCTTTCACCTCTTTCCACTGGGTTCCAACATTGCCAACAACCTTCCCACTTGATAGAATCATCAAAGGGTTGTTAGTCTTACTTTTCTCCTTATCTACACCAGGCTGATTTTTCTCATTCCTATTTACCATAAGCTCAGGATGCACCCTCCAGCATTCCAACAGATCATGCCCTTGTAGCTTGCATTCTTTGCAGTATTTAGGAAGATAATCATATTTGATATTCACCCATTCAGTTCTAATCTCTCCAGTGCTTTCATTAACAATATCCATCCTAACCTTGTTAGGGAGATCAGCTAGTAAGTCAACTAATACTTTCACACGTGCACAACTTGGTCTGGTCTTGTTCAGTGTAGCTTGGTCAAGATGTAATGGCTTACCAACTGCAGAAGCTAATGAAAAAAGGCATTCCTTAACAAAATATGTTGGCAACAGATTAGGAAAAGAAATCCATGCCATAACTTTTGGTGTCTCCTCGCCAACCTTGAATTTAGCATCATATATCAACGTTCTAAATTGATATTCATCTCCAAACTTGTCCTTAACATAATGTACTCCCTTTGATGAAAATTCAATGAAGTCCTGCCACAGAGTAAGTCTAATTAATATATGCCTATCTCGTAAATACCCAATTGTGCATTCACCCTTGATACCACATTGAATAGGAAGGATACGACGTAATTCATTAATCTCCGGCCAACTATATGAGAATTTGCAGACCACTGCATACTGCAAACCTTCGATCACGTTCATGCGTTCGACTTCTGCTTCAGTAAAGCAAACCAAAGGTTGTCCTTGATGCAATGTAGCTCTTCTAAGCGCAATTGGTTCTGTAACCACTGCTCGATCGTGCATGGCAGCGTTGTTTAACGTAGGCTTTACTGCTTTAGCGTAGTTCATGGGTGCTGGTTTATCGCTAGATGAATTTGAAGGTTGGGAATTATTGTTTGGTGTAGTAGAAGGCTGGGCAGACGTTAGAGGGGGCTGACCAGCCGGAAAAGATGGCTGGCCGCCGGCCGGATTGGCCATGGCAGCTGATCGCAGCTTTCTCTCTCTAAATCGCCTTTTCTAGAGAGAAGGCAGAGAAAAATCGCGGGGTTGGGGGTTTTTTTTAGGTTTTAGGTTTTAGGGTTTAGAGATACAGATATTTTCGAATCACTTAGGCCCGTTTTTTTTTTTTTTTTTTTTTTTTTTTTTTTTTTTAGGATTAAGATGTTTAGATCTTTGATTATTAAGATATTATTTTAAATATGAATAATTGATAATAAAGAAAATCAGATTATTCAAGGTCAGAATATGTATAACTTACCTTTATTTAAATACAAACAAATAAAATATTCAAATTAGATAACTATTTAGTGGGATAATACCGAGTATGTTTTTGTTGGTGTAACTATTTCAAAAACTTATATCCATATAATATACAAAAAAAAAAATCATAAATTTACATGGTGTAATAAATTTTGATTGTAAGAATATCTAAAAGCTAGCGGTAATAGCCACCGATGGTAGTGTTGCCAGCAATTTTCACGCTTCGAAACTAGGGCGGGAAGTGATAGCAATCAACCTACCTTATTCCTCGAGCGAACCCTGTACTCACTAGTTGGAGGTTTGAACTGAACATCAAGCTCAAGAAATTTATAATAAAATATAGGATAATATTGGCCTGAAATTTGAATATTTAATGCAATATGAACATGTCTGAAATTTAAATCCATTAGCAAGTCATGAAGCCTCTAACATGTGAGGGATGTTGTGGTCACAGGTGCGAAGGATTGTCTGCACCTGCGTGGTCGCAGATGCGGTGAGGCTGAGCACAGAAGCGAGGGGCCAGCACAGGAGCAGGAAAGGTGGCACACCTGCGTTTGCGCAGAAGTGGAGCGTGTTCCGCAGGTGTGAAGGTTGGGTTCTAGTGGTTCGCCGCAGAAGCGGAAGAATTGTCGCTTCTGCGACACCGCAGATGCGATTAAGTTGTCACAGGTGCGAAAAACCTGGGCAGAAATATAAACGTTCGGTTCCGAGGGTTTTATAATTTCTTCACTTTGCAAACTCGGATTTGGGCGATTTTTTAGAGGGATTTCGAAGGGATTTTTGAGGTAAGTCACTTATGGTTAAATTTATTCAATATGTTTCCCCATTGAATTTCCCACCTAGACTGTGTGGTTTTGAGGTGTAATTTTTGGATTTGAGGCTAGGGATTTAGAGAGTTAAATTTGGGATTTAGATATCTATTTGGTGTTGGATTTTGGTAAATTTGGTATGGTTGGACTCGTGGTTGAATGGGCTTCCGGTTTTTGTGACTTTTATCGGATTTTGAGGTGTGGGCCATGGAGCCACTTTTGAGTTGACTTTTTGACTTTTGATTAAGAACTTAGTATTTTCTTATGGAATTAATTCCTTTAGCTCGTGTTGATTATATCGAACTATTTGTGGCTATATTCGAGGCATTCAGAGGCAGTTTCGCGAGGCAAGGGCGTGTTGGAGTAGAGATTAGCACGGTTTGAGGTAACACTTCTAAACATGGTTCTGAGGGTTTGAAACCCCGAATTACGTGTTTTGTGATTAGTGTTGAGGTGACACACATGCTATGTGACGGGCGTGTGGGCGTGGACCGTGAGAATTGTAACTTGGTCGATTCTATGGAACTATATAGTGGATTTATCTTGTTGTTACTCGTATTTTCATCAGGTGTTAAAGAAATTGAGCTGCCAGTCATGATAGAAATCATGCTTAGGATACGTGTTGGTGCTGTAGGGACCCACAAAGGTCGTGTTATATGTTGAGTTATTTACTAAATTACCATTTTGTACTCAGTCACAGTCTTTATTGGCATATTATATCTCACTCTCCGTGTCCTTTATTGATGCATTATACTATCGTTGTTTGGGCTGACTATTACGATTCTTGAGAACCCGAGACGGGAGAGATTGATGACTGAGTGAGGCCGATGGCCTGATTGTGAGGATACTTATGGGAGCAGGTTGCACGCCGCATCATGTGTATTTTATTCATGCCATGATTGGCTTATTATAGCGCATGGGCTAGAATTGCTCCTCCGGAGTCTGCACATCCATAGTGAGCGTAGGTACCTACTGAGTGAGGTTGGAGTGAATGAGAGGACTGAGTTACTGAAACATTGAGAGTATGCACATGATTTCATTACCGTTTCGTAATTCAATTGGCTTATATAACTGTCATGTAGTTATTGAGATGTGGCATATCCTGTTTTGCCCGAACTTGACATGATTTAACTATTGTTGGCTTTAACTGTTGAACATGAAAGCATGCCTACTTTCCTGTACTGAAATTCTGTAATTGAACTGTACCCGTGAAGCTCGTCACTACTTTCAGTCCCGTAGTTCGTTTTGTCACTTACTGAGTTGGTTGTACTCACGCTACACCCTGCACTACATTTGCAGATCTAGGTATTTCCGGACACGAAGGATACTCATTATCTGAGCAGCTTGATCGTTCGGAGATTTCGAGATAGCTGTCCGGCGTTCGTAGACCTTGACTCTCCTTCCCTATCGTTCAGCTTTATGTAATTAGTTTTAGTTTTTCATAGACAGTATTTCGGATTGTGTTGTAGAGTTGCTCATGTACTCAATGACACCCTGGTTTTGGGAATTTTTGAGCTGAGTTTTGATCTTTTATAAAGTTTATGAGAGATTATATTATTCAAACATGTTTTAGCTCATCTTTCATTTAAAGTTGTTGGAAATGATCAAG